CTCAAGCAGCTAAAGACAAACCAACAGGGGTTCGAAGTATCGAAGCACCTCTCGATCACAACCCGACGACTGCAACGCCTCGAGACCTGGCCATATCGATGGTAAACATCAGTCTCCGAGACAATGAGCGGAGTGGAATCTCTGCCTCATGACTTGATCAGAAGAACAACAGTGACATCATCCAGAGGAAGACCAAGTATCCCGGTGACGATTTCACCTCAAGACATCACAAGGCAACGAAGGTACGCTCCAGGTTGGACAACAATTCAAGGCAGGCGTAAAACTGTGCCATAACGGAATGTCACATGAAGATGATACAGAAGTCCACTCATGAGGAAGTGGCAGTGCGCATCTAAGGATCAGAAGTCAAGAAATGACTTGGACACCATCAGGACATAGATGGATCAAACCGAATGTAAAGAGAAGAGAAAACTCAACGAGCCGGCTCAACCACAAAAACACAACGAACAAGCAGCGAAATGAACAGCAGCCCGGACCGAGCAACAGGACCAGTCCGTGTGGCGAGTGTGGATCGAGCATCATCTTGAAGAAACTGTTCAAGGTCAACAAACCAGTGAAAGGGACTCGCCCCAAGGGGCTCGCAGAAACTTTGGACGCTCTCCCAATATGAATGAGAATTCGCTCAAGTTAGTACTATGGCTAAGAAAGAGAAACGATCCAGAAAGAGAAATAGTCAAGATCTTGCTCCCTTCTGGAGTCTAGCGGTTAGATGTGAAATTTCCATTCTCAAACCGATCCAATCTCACCTGAAGTCTAGCCAATACCAGAAATTAGTACTGTCAAAAAAGTGTATCACTCTCAAAATGATTGAGTTCACGTATCCGAGAGAAGTAATGACTCAGTGCTCATGATAGCACGACATAGGCCAACATACTCACGTTTGTCACGGACGGAGCCTCCGTCGCGTGTTTCTCCGAGCTTGCTACACGTTCACATACACGCAGACAGCACACTCCCAATCAGCAAACAACTCCACACCTCACAAGAGATTGAGTCAGAGTCTGGTGCCATCTCTATATCATGTTGTACCGCCTAGGACGAGCAGTCCAAAGGAATATCATCTATCTATCTATCTATCTATATATATAAAAACGTATGTCTGTTTGTTTGTCTGTCTGTCTGTTTGTCTGGTGTCACCTATAGACTCGAAAACGGCTGAACCGATCGTCGTGAAAATTTAGGAGCGTGTTCTGGGCGATCCAGCGGTGGTTATAGGGGGGTCAGTTCTCCGATGCGATGAGTCCTTCTACCTTAAAAAGATTATTTGAGTGCTCCACCCACGAAAATCCGAAAACTCGGAGAAAAATTGAAAAATCCGAAATTCGCGAAATTCACGAACGCCTGAACCGATCGCCGTGAAAATTCAGGGGTGGGTTCTCGGGAGTTGTAGAAAAGCGATGAGGGGGTCGTCGTGCCCGTATGATGAGGATGAGCTCTTTTTCCCTTGGAAATTGAGTACCGGGTCCCTCACCGGAAATCGTTCGGCGGGAGTTTCCAGAGTTCTCCAGAATTTTCGTGATTCCTTCACATAATCTATAAATCTGTCTGTATGTCCCCTATAGACTC